GCATCATTTGCATCGCAGCCTCCTTGGTTTGTGTTGTTCTCTACCTCAGTATTGTTGACTTGAGTCACTGCATGAATATTGCCAAGCAATACTGCCAAGTAGCAAACCACGACTTCATTTTCCTCCTTGGGCCAAATCAACTTAGCTAGATATATAGGTTTAAAAAAGACCAACTGTACAAACTGTTGCAAGCAGTAGTGATCTTTTTCTTCTTTCTGCAGATAATCCTTTTTATAAAGCCTCCTTCTAGGCCCCCGCTGTATAAATATCATCAGCTGATACTGCAGACTGCCCTACTCTTTCTTGATCAGATAGATGATGTTGAATATCCCTGAGGGACTAGAAGTGGGATACTTCACACATAGGTCACCTGAGCAAGTGAAATCTTTATCTGGGGGGATGGCTAATTAGTGGAAGATATAAAAGGAGCTGATGATCTCCCTCCAGCTACTATCAGATGAGTCTCTATATTTTAAATCAATATCAAATTGAGAAGTGACTGCAGCTTTTTTCTATAGTAAAACAAATATACATGAGCTTTATGGGTTTAAACCCTGAAACCATCATGGAGCTGATTACTCTAAATTCAGTTCATCATAGAGAATCGTATGTGTCTACTACCTGTGAAGTAATATTCACTACTTTTTTACAAATAAACCAAAGGCATGAATATCCTGGGATGAAAAGCTAACATTTTCCTAACTTCACATTTCACAGAAATACGAATTAAATGCTTTTAAAATATGACACTCAACAGAAATAAAAATCATTTAATACTTTTGCCTGCTCTCGATTGTCCTGAAAAAGCAGTCCACGGAGCTGCAGAACAATGCAAATCTAGCACAGTTTCTGAAGGATAGTCACTACTGAACTCATTTCCAAAGAGTCATATGATTTTGCTTAGATCTACAGATCAAGAGAGTTTAATAAAAATTAAACAATCATTTGCAAATCTCAGGCCTCAGTTATTATGGTTCACAGGAAGCCATACACCTAAAGGTGACTGATGCAACAGTTAAAACAACCGTTTTGTAATGACTAGAACGAGAATACAGAACACGAAGAAATAACAAAAAACGCATTTCAGCCACCAAAGATAAAGCTTTGTCAGCAAAAGCTCGCATTTGCTTTGCTGCACTTTATACTCAGTAGTTAGAAGCAAGATTTGTAGAACACAGTTGAAGAAATAATGATGGAGCACAGCTTTTCCTTATTTTGTCCAAGCCTTATATTTATATCAGTTTAACACAAGATGTGATCCCTTTAAATTCAGTAAAGAAAATGAATATTACTTCACAAGTGTATTCTCCTGATTCAAAGTGTCCTGAAACAAAATACTGTCTGTTTTTTGTGTTTTTTAAAGCATGCTACATAATTGGAACAAATTCAATGAATATGAAAAATAGCATGGCCCTGACACTGCAGTAAAGACTCTGATCACTATCATAATGGCAAAGATAAGCCCTTATTTTAGGAAGGAAACTTCAAAGTACTAAACGAAACACATCTACTGGACCTCTGCTCTCTTAATGAATCCTGCTCCCTTACACTTCTCTACATCATAGTCAACATAAAAGCAAAGACAACTAAGGAGCCCCGCACATCAAAATGGTCTATATGGACATTTTTAGTGGGCGTAAACACATGGCAGCATATCAATGCATATGAACAAATTAGGGAGAAGGGTGTGTTTCAGAAGCTTTTCAATGTGTGCACACTATTAAACTCTGTCTAAGGTCTGCTTGGAGAAAGTAACAATTATATTTCTTATTAAAGAATCTGCAATTACAGCCCTCTGCACTTCCTGCTTCCTTCAACAACGAAGACCTGTCTACACTGCAGATTATAAAGTCCTGTGCTGTTTCACTAGGTCACCAGACTAAACAGGCCAATCCACTTTCATGGCAACTTATTCCTGATTTTTTCTTCTGGATCAACTTCTTTTGTAATAAGACCAGGTCTAGCATTGATCCTACAGCTGAATTAGCCCCTGTAAAATTCAAATTAATTAGAACAATGTTTAAATGTACGCACCAAAAACTCTTCTGTGAGAGACCTAACTTCTTACATTAATGTCTGTTATCTTTAAAATCTTCTTCAGATACTGAAAAAAATGAGCTTCAGACTTCCCGCTTTTCCACAAAAGTTACCACAGTCATAGTTGCTGCAAACACTTTATGTACTAAACTATTATTTTAGTTCCTTGTTTTTTATGGCATTTGTCGGTCATCAGAAAAACCAGAAAGGCTACAGTTCAGATTTCTCAGGATCATAAACAGTTTGATTAAGTTACAGATGTTAATTAAGACCCAAATCTGTATCTTCATGTATAGCCAGAATAACCAGCTCGTTAGCTAGGGAAAGCCTATGACATTCAGAATATTCCATATTGCAGGATGCAGATTACAAGTGGGAGGGTTCCAGAGCAACTTTTGTAACCTCCTCTTCTGTTGTATCATGCAGGTTTGGGGAAGGAAACATGCATTGGACAGACCGTCTGAACTGCGCCCCTACATCCCGCGGGTGGCAAAAGCAGTCAATGACGCTGTGGCAGGGCACATCTGAAAACCAGGTAGTGGTTATGCTGTTAATATTTTTGGAGGAACGTGCTGCCTCCTGCTTTTGGAAGTTTGCAAGTGAATAAAATAAAATTATTTTTAAAGGAGAAATGACCACTGCAAATTTGAATTTCACAATGCTTTCCTAAAACAGGCAAACATTTCAGTGTGTATATTTGTTGTAATTTGATTAAATTTCATAAAAACGTAATTCTAACCATGTGTCCCACAAGACTCAAGCCAAAACGAGTGTCTAGCCATGTCAGCCAGACAGCTTCTAATGGTGAACACTTATAGTGAGAATTTTTGTTACAAATAATGTGCAATTCAACAGTTTTCTATGCTGTCCTTTGTGATACAAAATCATCTATAAAAATGGACCAGAAACTCTACTGAGAGAGCAGTTACTGGTGGATAGTAAGTACCATGCTTAATAGAAAACTAACTGCTATGAATAAGTAGATACTGATTCATATGGTTTGTAGCCTGATCCAGTAAAGGGTTCTGGCTCCAAAACCTTTAGCACTCCAATATCTAATATTTAGGCCCATGGCCTGCCAGGAGGAATCCCGAATTATATTTTAAATGCTTGACTTTCTCATTATGTGCATGGAGAAAGATTTAGGCAGTTTAGAGGAGAGCTGGCACGCTGTGCCTTGACCAGGTCAGCTTCCTCAATACGCAGCTGACTAATTAACAGGGAAGAAACTTTGAGGTTTGTCCCACATCTAAAATCCTGCCTCCCTCTAAAACTAGGGCTCTATCTGAGGGATACCTCTAGAAACAGGGCTCTACCCAGGGCTGTTTGAGAGGCCTCCATCCACTCACTATCTACACCCTGATTCTTTCTATGAAAATAGGTTCCTGTGATCTTTCCTTCAAAACTTATGTTTTATTAAAACATAGCTAGGAGAGAAGCTGGCTTCCCATCTCCCTCCATATAGCAACGCAGCAATTAGAGCACTCAGAGTCATGGGATTCTTCTCTCCTGCCCTGAAAGGCCCCAATTCACAACTCCTCTCACCCAGGGGAGGACTCTGACCTGATGGTCAGAGCTGATGGTTATTTTAGAAAAGGCAGTCTCGACCCTTCTGCTGAAACAATGCCCTGGAGCACAAACAAATTCAAGATGCCTTAGATCACAATCTAATGTTTAGGTTATTCCCAGGGTTAGGGCACAGATTGCGTTTTCTTGAGACTGTTTCTCTCTTCCTTATGTTAAATAGTTGTGGAATATGCACAACCCCTCTCCACCTTCACCCCTACCCCCACCCCCACCCTAAAAATAAAGACCTGGGAGTAATATCTTCGTTGTCACTGTGTTTTAACATAAAGTACTAGACACTGCTGCATTTTGTCAAGAACCCAGTCCTGCCAGAGAGTCTGCGGCGCGCTCCAGGAGCGGCCGGGCGGCGGAGGCGGCGCCGGGGAGTTGGGGGGAGATTTCGGTGGAAGAATGCCTTGTTTCTGGATTCCACAGAGCTGTCGGCATGAACATGCCTGAGAGGGAATCTGGGATTCTCAGGTGGAAAAGGAACTAACTCCAAGGCATGAATCATGAGACAAACGTAGTGCTTTGAGGTGTAGGCAACTACTTAACAGAGGTTTTCTGACTAACACCTGTTCATTTACATGCTTAAATTCCACCCAAGTCCCACATTTCACACCATCTCTACCCTCTTATTGACTGAACCATATGTATCGATAGACATCTTTGTGGTCGCCAAGGCATCTTTTTATTTACGAGAAACAACAGCAGTTGCCGAGGACACTTAACATCGAAAGCACTGAGTTGTTACTTTCATGGCATAATCCTTGCCGTAGCTCAGCTGACACTGATTATTCAAGACACAGTGTACCTTCCGTTGGGAATCATATTGTAAGGCTTAGGGCCTTACACTGAAACTGCCCTGTCGGTGCACAAACCCCCACAGGAAGAATGGTATTAAATCCTATTTTCACTTCAAAATATTCCTGAAGTGAAAATATATTTTTGCAGAAGTAATATGCCTATTTTGACATTGTGACTAATGTCTTCCTCTGCATGACAAAAAACATTAGAGGAAGGCCTTACTAACTACATGTGGTAAACTCCATACCAAAGACACATTGCTTTAAAACTTCTTTATTCTGGGCATGGTCTATTTAGGCCTTCATAAAATCTCCGAATTTCTAATAACAAGGTGTACTTGTGTCTCTAAATAGCTCAGTGGTGAGATGTTTATATTACCATCTAGCACAGGAAAAACCCTTCTGCTGGACTTGTCAGGAATGCAAAAAAAAGGATGATTTTCTAGTATTTCTTCTTGTTTCATAAGCCTAGTTACTAAGATCTAGTGGCACACCTTGTAACCTCTAGTTAGGTATTCAGAATAGCAACATGTGTATAAGTTAAATATAACCTGTGAAATATATGCCATATTTGATAAAAAATGCATGCAGTCAGAATCATATGATGATTTAATTTGCATAGATGTAAAATCTGAATTTATTATACATAACCTGTATTTGTAAAAGTAGAGACAGTCACCTGGTTTCTCCTCACTGGTTTAATCTAACAGTCACTCATTAGAGGCAACAGAACTTTAAAAAGCAGCCAAGACAAACCAGACACCAAAGGGGAAGAGCAGAGAAGGGCAGATAATGTACAGGAAAAGTGGTTACACAAATACAAATATTAACACAACTCCTTCAGTCCCTTCCAAAATGAAAGTTTCAGATTGTCAGAAGGCTGAGAGGGCAATCAGGCAAAACAGAAGCACGTTTGATGTCACTCATGCATCTGTAACAAGTTCATTCTCTCTTCTGTAAAGCAGAAGTTTTACGAAGGTATCTACAGGATGCAGTTTACTTATTTAGGTAATAAGATCTTCTGTAGGAAGATGTGGAGCATCTCTAGTAGTTATCACCTCAGAGAGAAGCTGAATGGACTGAGGTCCTGGGCCTGAAAACATGAACACTCAGTGAAGGAGTGGAGGAAAATCAAGTCAGTCTGGAAAAGGTCAGATGAATTTGCTATTATCCATATGATACCCATTTCAGTGAATGAATTTTCAGGAAAGACATTCAGATAGTGAGGTAGCTTAGACCTAAGCAGAGGAGGACAATGCTAACCAACATGTTCAGAAAGATAGTCAAGTGACTACAGAGACGCAGTGAAAGTTGCAGCCATGTTCAGAAAAAGTCATTTGAGTCTCTTCCACTGAGCCACCATCGAGATCAAAAATCAAATAAGGTTTTGAAAAAGCTTATCACGGTTACTTGATATACAATACACACATAGGGCCACTCCTGTGTGGTTGTGTTGTTCACTGCCATTTTCATCTACAACAGATAACACTAATAACATTTGGAGCGTAGTTACTTAAACCAGGCCTTAACATTTCATTAAGCTGCTGAGACAGCTATGGGCAGACCTTGTCATAGCGAGCAGGCTTTTTGCTTTGTTTCAGAAGTACTAACATATGAACAGATTACAGAAATTAGGCAGTTGTTTTCCTATGTCAGAGGAGAAAAGGCTCAAATGTTATTTTCAGTTTCTGGCGTGCTTAGCTTAAAGTAAATCATAAAGAAAGCAAGGAATCATAAGAAGTGGTAGGTAGCGCATACTGTTTTTCACTACTGTAGCATTAGCAATATACTAGGAGCTGAAAATAAGCCATACTTGATTAGGTACATATACTTGGGAATGATATCAGTATCTGAGCATTACTGAGAGTTTTTGTCATTGAGAGATGTGTGGTTTGTGTAAGACAGATCAGAGTTACAGGTCTGTTGAATATCTGTAATGACAGGCAGAAAATGGCCTTCTCTATCAACCAACATAACTCTCAAGTATGCACACAATAATGAAGTATTTCTTCTTAATATTGATCATTCCATTTCAAGCACCAAGTAACATCAGATAAAGAAAATATACATGTATTTATTTGTTTGCAGGATCTATGTGGATGCTCTTAACCCCACTCTACTCCCTGCTCTGCTCCCCTCCCCACCCCTCTCTGCTCAGGTGTAAGCATAAAGATATATGCATATCTGAAAGAATCAGAAAGCATCTGTGATATTTCACAGAGGATCCGATAGCTCTTCTTAAGTAAAAGTGTATCTCCAAGTCACTAGGTCACAGTAGCACTCAAGAAGAGGCACCTCAGGAAGGGCCTCCGACATAGCTACAGTTGGCAGATTCACCACTTTCACTATTCCGCCTGGAAGGGAAAGATTTGGACATAAATATTTTCAGTTCTTGTGGTCTTTAGGTTATGTCAGTAGCCCTTATCAGTAAGATAAGTCATCAATAAGACAGTCTTTGGATAAATGCACTTTTACACATCTTTCAAAGTCCCTAAAACTCAGGGACATCACGTGGATTTCTGATGTTCCTTGGCAGGCTCTGAATCCACAAATTAATGAGTGGATTATTGTGATTCATATGCCACTTTCATTTTTGGCAGGTAACACTAGTGGTATTGGAGGATGATTACTTGAATGAGATCTGCACCCACTTTCCTCAAATCAGCACTCTGAAAAAACTCAGTGATAAAATGTAGCTGTCAGCATAAATACATGCATAAATACAATATATGAACACATATTCTGTAGAGAGTTTTGGCTGTACAGTTCCAGACTTCAGGGATGAGCAGATGCGTACGACTTTCTACAGTTCTTGTAGAAGGCTGGGCAAGCAAACATCTGTGGTGGACATTGAGGAAGAGGAAATTTCAACGTGTCAGTAATAGGAAAGTTACATTGTACACCTGCTTTTTTAGGCATGCCATCTGTGCTCAGTCATACCATAATATAGCTTTGATGGCATGCCACAACTAAAGGGCAGGCAGTATACTTGCTTCATTGACATGAATGACAACTTTATAAAACACACTGCTTAATGATATAAATCATAACTTTCAAACACAATATATAGTTATCCTGAATGTTTTCCAATGTTTAGACCTATGCTAATTATTTTCATACTGAAAGCACTGTCGAAGCATTAGAGTGAAAACCAGTGCACACTAGGTAAGCAATAGCACCTTATCTATACTAATACTGAACTTCACAGTATATTTTGTTGGCCTGTAATTACCCCATGACATCCAGTGAATATTGTTTACCATCACCTAATAATAAGCAATTCTGATTCCATTACTGCACACAATCTCATATTAAGTTTCTTCTTTCCAAAGTAAACTGCCTGTGAAGTTCAAAGGTATCACTACGTTTTCTAAAAATCTGGATAAATATTTTATGTAGAAAAGGAAATGTGACCTCAAAAATTTGTATTTTCATTAATACATAAAATCATTGGGGAAAAAAAAGGTTTATATTAGAATTCTTTCTTAAAGAGGCATTTTCCGTAGTGTACTTTGGCGTCTTTAAGTGGTAGCATGATCTAAATCCATAATTCAGTTCCAGTCCTGGATCTACTCTTCAATCCATGTGTGGCCTCAGTCAAAATGTATTAAATTTTCCTGTTTCAGTTTCCCTGACTCTAAAGTGGGAATAACATGACTAACCCAAATAGCTTAGTTGCAATTTATAAGATTGAATAACTTGATGATTGGATTTCTGAGACATGAAACATGATTACTATTAGGATTCAATGACCAACCAGGCAGAAGAGTGTGATACAAATACAGGAGATGGGTCTTTGACTACAGAAAACGTGACAACCAGTCAGTCAGTGAGGAGGAAGCTCTAAGGAATGGTTAGCTGTACTTGTAAAAGTGTGAAAGTTCCCATTGCACTTTCTTTTTAGCATCCCATACTACCTAAAGATCGTAAAAAGCTAAGCCCTCTCCAAGAAATGAACAGGTCCAAAACACTACATGCAAAGAAATTTTTATCTGCGTAACAGAGCTAGGTATTGTTTTCTAGTGGAAATGTCAGAATTGATTAAAGGCTTGGCATTTCTATTTAAAATCAGCCAGTGCATGATACATTTTAAAGGGAGAAAAATATAGAGGCCAAATAACATGGAGATAACAGGCTAAATTAACTTCTACTGCTGCTGCAGTAACTTGGTAGCCAATGTATTGGGGCCAAATTTATAAATGGGAGTGCCTCATAATAACTATGAGAAAGTATTCTTCCTGCCAGCAAAGTCAATATTATTAATTGTTATTACCATTATTAACCTTTGGGCTTGTGTATCCTCCGTGGATTAATGATTATTCAATAACTGTGTTACAAGGCTGCACTTTCTAATACCAATTAATAGAAGAGCATACCACTGGTTTACTAGGAAAAGTGTTGACGTATCAACTTCACAGTGTCAGTCTTGTTTGTAAGACATGTAAAGGTGCCTACATGAATTGCATTTGTCAATTCCCAGAGCTGAAAGATGAAATCTGCCACAAAGTCAAAATAAATAAAAAAGGAGATCGGGCTGACATCCAGGGTCCCCTCTCTTCTCAGGCTCCTAGGGAATAAGAAACAGCCTCAGCTTTCAGGGAAACCTGCCCTCACTGCCAGGTTCACTCTCCAGGAACTCCACTTCCAAACTGTGCATCAGCGAAGAAGGGAAGGAAGGTCTTAAAAACAAAAGAACAGAGGAAAAAGTCCCTCCCCAAGGAGAAATTAAACGGAAAAAAAAAAAAGAGAATTCCGAAACAGCGGTACTGTGGAGCACGTCGTGCCAGGTGAAACATCAGGCGAGGGAACCGCG